CCATCATCATTTCGTTCTGACATGACGGTACCAATGATCACAAATGGGATTTTTTGTATCGCGCCTCACCATTCGATTGTAGTGTGCGGTCGCCCTTTTCATTCGCGCCTTTCATTTTTTTTTCTAAGAAACAACAGTTATATTATGAGAATCGTATTAATTTAGAATCGGTAGGAAGTTTGTATTTTACTATTACGTAAGATTTTTATGTGTATATAATATAAATATTTGGACTAGCTGTCGCCCGCGACTCCAACCGCGAAATACTTAAAAAACTAAATTGTTTTCCTATGTGCTCTAGCGGGATATGCTCTACATCTGTGCCAAATTTCATTAAGATCCGTTGAGTCGTTCCAGAGATACCTTCTAACCAACATTCATCCATTAATCTAAACTTTCGCATTTAAAATATTAGTAAGATTATATTGGTTAATACTAAAATACATATTTTGGATACCTTTTGATTGCATAATGCTATTTATGAAAATCAATATTTTATAGTAGATACTTTGGTCATATAGTCATTTTTTGTTTTTGATTCCTAAATAATATATCTCATAACAATTTCGTAACACAAGCCTTGAATATGTAAACATAATCCTCGAAATAAGATATAATAATTATAACACTAAATTACAATTTTAAAAAGCAATAATTATGAATAACGTAACTGCAAAATCTATCGAAAAACATGCGTGTTTGAGTATTCACGAACCGACATTTGGATACAAGATAACCTTAAAATCTCAATTCTCAGAAAGATATTCCCATCAAAGTCGAACAAAACCGTGTGAGTGAATATGTTTCGTCACAGATATAATTATATGTTTTGCTTAATAATGTCAGAACATGTGTAACCGTATAGAACATACGTAATCATATTAATCAAGCCCAATCAAACGTGCAATTTTTTCTTAAACGAATTTGACCTTATATGCTTAATCCGTTAATGATTTCACTATTAAAAAAAGATGCAACAAAACCACAGTACTTACTGGGAATTGCAGAATAAACAATAGATCGTAAAATGCACCTAACAAATCTAAAGATTTATGTTCTTAACATTTTAATAACTCTTATTGTGAATGGGATAGGGTTGATTATTCTTTAATTAGTGTACTTGATTAATAAAGCTCCCCATCTGCCGATTAGATCATCAGAGCGTGCGAGAAAGAGAGGGTCAGTCGAGGTTCTATTACGTTTTTTACCCACTTTTAATATGAAATCGAATCGAGCGATAGAAATGTACGATTCAGTAGTAAAGAGACATCTTATCGATAAAAATTTAATTTTGAATATTTTTTTACCAAAAACTACATATAGCTTTTTAGTATTTGTATTCTTAGACTAGTTATTAGCAGGTATAGAATTAAAAATTATATTTCAATTATCGTATTTTATGTGAATCCTTCCTTAGTCAGCTATAAGTGGTTGTGACCCTAAATTTTGTCTAGGTTTCGCTGGGGTTTTACAGAAATAGCAAAACTTTCTATTGTCTATATTTATACAATTAGTTAAATTAGAGTGTCTGTATGTAATATCAAAAAAACATTATATTTTCTTAACGAATTTGTGTTAGTTTTGAAGAAAAAACATTTTTACTGTATGTCCCTAAATATGCGCTTATTGCAAGTAAAAGTCGAAACGGTTGGACTTGTATGTATGCGAGAGTAGCTTAGACTATTTTCTTAATTTCGCCCGGTACATCCGGTACTAGATATAGACTTGAGTCAAGAGGTCCATACTCTTTACAATTATTCTTAATCAATCGATATCGTATATCAATAAATATCGATAAATTTCCTACACAACACTATAGAGAATCGACGCGGGCTCATCAAAGTGCGGCATACAGACAATAACTGAGAAATATTAAATTATAATAAAATTAACTCAGAATTACTTTTTATACCGTTACTGGGCGCAGTCTTCACAAATGATAGACACGGCATTAATATAACATGGCAGTAAGTATCCATGTACAATCCATCCATATCTAGAGGAACTATGATTTGTATTAAATATTATAGATACTTTATAACACGTATTTTGAAAATTTGGAAGTTAAATTGTGTAAGTATTTTTTTTTTATATCAAAAGGTGGCAAACGAGCGACGGCCACCTGAAATCGCTGAAATAGCAAAGTGACTGCTTCCCATAGACATACGCAATGGCATATGCGTTGTCTACCTTTAATCGACGGAGGATAGGATGCACAGAAAGAAAATATCTTCCCTTTCCATGCATCCTCTCATCGGTAAAGTCCACTTCCACTTCCCATCCTTTCCTTATAAAGAAAAGGATGGGAAGGGAAAGAGGACTAAATTAGGCCTCCGGGACACACACTCATCAGACGAAACGCGGAATTGCTTCGTGTGGTTCGTGTGGTCGTGGTATTTCACCGGACGAATCGGGCCGATTCGTGCGAAGATGTTAAAGCGGGCTCTACCACTGTTAGATAAAAAAATTATATTTATATAGAAAGTGGATCTGACAGATCGACTGACTGACTGGATTTGGTTCTATCTTTAGTAAGTAAATCAGTTATTTAAATCTTACTTTCCACTTTATATTTTTAAGTTCATCTAACAGATTAAATAACATAATTAAAGTGTTAACTTTTTAAATCGTAAATTACTTGGTAATTTACAATTTTGCATACATTACTGCAGAACAATATATTTAATAGTATTATTAAACTTTAAAGTCGTTGGTAACTTGAATTACTTTAATTTTATTATTTTTTAATTACGTTTACTGAAGAAATTTACTAAGTTTTTAATAATACTAAGTTCCAATGACACTTTTAGTTTACATTTATGATATGCATCTAGGATATAATAGTGCAATTATTTTATTTTACTAACCATGAAACGACTTGACCCAGCTGTCTTACATTACAAGCAAAAAGTATACGCAACCAACGATGTATTTCAAATAAAGGTTAACACCCTTTAAGTTAAAAGAAAAAAAAAGTGACCTTTTCATGTTGATAGGGAAAGACAAATCTAGCTGATTTTGGCGGCCTAGAGAATAATTATAAATAAACGAAAAAACTGACTCATCTCACTTCTTACTAATATTATAAATGCAAAAGTTTGAATGGATGGATGGATGTTTGTTTGAAGGTATATACGGAACGGCACAATGGATCTTTATGAAATGTCTCACTGACGTAGATCATATTCTGGAAGAACACATAGGCTACTTTTTAAGTTTTCTTTAATTCCGTGCGAACAAATTCGAGTGCTGTATCTAGTTATTAATAATTAAAAATCGATTTTTACTTAAAAATAAATATCATAAAAAAAAGAAACAAAATTATGTGTGACGTTTAGACATGTCTGTATATTACAAAGTCTATGGTCGCACTGTCTCACGGATAGTCCGTCGGAACGTATGTGATAACGATTATTCATTCTACACGGCGACACATGACGAATCAATCTGTTACGAATGAATCCAATCGGCCGATAGTTTGTTGTTATCTGTGCTCGCTTGGCGGGAAACATTGACGGGAAGAGAGAAAATGGCCGTCGTAATGCAGCTTTTTTATTATCGTAGTATAATAGGCATGGCGCTTAGATTGTTTATTGTATTTTTCAGTAGTAAAATTTATTATATAAGTATAGATGACTAACCGTATGTTTCTGAGACCGAAATTCAAATTTGAAACATATTGTTATATCTGTTTTGTCAAACATAATGACAGGGATGGCGATATGTTATATATAGAGACTGTGATCTCAAAAACCAACCGTAATTTGAACAGCTTATTTAATTTTAAACACGAATAAATGACCTCAAAGAACAATTAACGTAAGTTGTAATTGTAATAAATTTCTTTGAATCTGCAATCTAGAATTTTGTAACTAACACCTTTTTGTACATAAAAATCTTGTTTCACAGTATGTGGTCAACATAATAAATAATTAAATTTAACATTTAAATTTCATATAAATTAAAAGCTATTTTATTCTTATGTGCAAAATAAATCATTAGCAATTTTCCTCATGAAACTATCATTCATTCAAATAAATTCCAGTATGATATCTTCCCGCGTCTTTGAGAAAAAGTGTCTTGACAGACAGACGGACAACAAAGTGATCCTATAAGGGTTCCGTTTCTTTCCTATGAGGTACGGAACCCTAAAAAGAGACATAACTAATGTTTCGTATGTCCTTAGTTTGAACCCACTTTAACGAATACCTACGCGTAAAAACAAAACACAACAGAAAATAATTACAACATAGAAACCAACTTGTGTTTGACAGAAATTAAAAAAAAAATGTCTTTTAATAACACCCTTCCACAATCAACTGTAGTTTCGAATATATTCGTATAACTTTTTATTCTAATGCCATTAAATTAGAGTCTCATTTTATTTGCACATAGATTTAAATAGGTGGTGAAGAAAAAAAATCTAAGTGAACGAACACACTCGTCGACTAATTACTGGGCCAGTGACATAATTACTATGCTGGATAAACGCCGCTGGTACTGCCTTTTTTATCGTACATTCAAAAAGATACCTAATGTTATTGTTACTTACTATACTAGTAAATAGTTTAACTACCAAATAGTTACGTTAAGTAATCTAAGTTAAGTAGTGTCAAAAATCTAAGCTAAGTGCCTTTCTTAGTAACCTAATAATGTCTCTAAGTGTGCCAAAATCGAATTCGTAAAGAAATTTTCACAAAGCAGCGAAGAAAGCGTGGTTATTTTGCTTCAATCAGGCTAGTCTATTTGTTCTATTTCGCCTAGCCCCGTTTCTAATTATATTTAGCACCATTGAATTAAAATCAGTCATAAAAACCCTCGAATTATGAAAAACATTTAAATAGTAATCAACTAATTAAAAATGGCTACACTGACGTATTACACTATAAACTTATTGAACTACGTGATTGTTGCCGTTTTCAATTAGTTTATAAAAATGTCTGATGAAAGTTTAAACAAAGAAGTTTACACTGATATAGTTTATTTCGATAATAACTTACCTGTGTTTGAGTCAACCCTAAACTCGCCGCGAGCTCGGCTCTCTCGGGCAATGCGAGGTACTGCGTCCTCTGGAACCTCCTGTTGAGCTGCTGCAGCTGCAAACTGGAGTAGATGGTGCGTGGTTTGCGCATCTTCTTTCCTTTCCCGTTCACCCGTAGACCGGGGTCGTCGGAGAGACCACATTTTTCTACAACAAAAATAAATAGTTAAAAAAACATATAAGTTATAATAAAAAAATATAGAAAAATAAATAGATGAATTTTACCAACTAGATAAGATTTCGATACACTTTGTTTAAAATTGTATAGAGAAGAGGAACAGGAACAAAAAATCTAATCCAAATTATCTTTACTTATATCTATAATTATGTTATAATTTGCTAACATATAAACAAGACTTTTAAAAGGATTAGTTAAAACATGTATTCAAAATATAAACGTAAAGAAGGCAATTATTCAATTAATTACAATAATAATTACATATTTATTAATCATCAAGTTACTTTATTAAGTTAAGAAATATTTAAGTTTAGAAGTATTCGGTGTAGATATGTTTAAATTGTGAACGCTAAAAAGACGCTAAATGCGCTAAAAATGTTAATAGAAGTGTTACTTATAGCATCGCTTAACGCGTGAATGTAACATGAAATATTGTTGGCGTGTTGAATTCATTTGCCGTTCGCAGTTCTAGGTTACGTAAAAATAGAGTAATAACTTCCTAAAATAAAGACGAGACGGAAAGCGAAGTTTGGATAAATTGGTACTTTATATAATTAAAAACATTTTTTTAAAAATACTATTATAATTTTCAATTACTATTCGTCGCTCACAACTCCATACGCAAGGAATAAAAAAACTTAATTAATACCCTGCTTTTACTTCCAGATAATATCCTATAAAAATGCCAAATATCAGCGAGATCCATGCAGTCATTCTCGAGACACTTTAAAACAAACATCCATCCATCCATCTTAACACTCAATTTTATAATATTAGTAAGATGTGTCATTGTAAATTAAATTTACAGTCTTTTTAATGATTGAAGGTAACATCTGATTTCTTTTTAGTTTTAAAATCAAAAGACCTCGATTGTAATTAATTAATTGTTCATGAATTAAATATTTCCTCCTCTATCTGTCTAATTGAATATTGTAACTCATTATAAACTGAGTTTAAATATTAACAGTTTGAAATTATGTTCTAAATTCAAACAGTAACATATCGCAGCAAACATTTTCGGCCAGCACTCACACCCCGCGTAATAAATCAACGAACCCAAAACGATGTAATAAATCTATAAAATAAATATACGAGCCATACGATACAGCTCGTGAAGGCTGCGCCATCCATTCTGTGAAATATATGAAAGCGAGTCGCTACTTGATAATAGTCAGTGGTAACTTGTAATTACTGCCTCGGTATCGCCGTATCTGATCGCCGCAAGACCAACAGACCGACACCCGCCGATTTTGGCGATGCCAGTCGAGTATCCGAACTGAATATGTCGATAACATATTTTTTATTTTTTCAAATTTAGAACGTTCCACGAAATTCATCTATGGTGCCATGTTGCTTTTTATAATATAAAATTCAAATTTAGAACATTTTTTTTTTTCATTTAAATTTGTTTTGATTAAGGCTCTACTGAAATAGAGTAAGTGATTTTTTTAAGGCGATGTCACATGTGATATTAAAAAGTTATTCTTTCCTAAATACATTAAGCTTGTTGAATATTACATGATAGCCCAACGGCTGTTCTGTTATCGACAAAAAGTATTTACAATGGTCAAGTCAAATAGAGTGCAGTCGAATTGCTAATCAAACGTCGCAACTGACAGGTCCCACTGTCACATGTCAAAAAATAGATCGTTATTGCTGTGTGCAATAATATCATATTTTACTTTGTAATACCTTTTCATTCCAACATGTCGTTAAAATGACATTTACAAAATACTTTCAAGTTCATGATATATGAATAAAAAGTAACGCGAAATAATATTGACAGACTATGATGCCATAAATGTTTTTTTTTTATTCAAACATAAAACTTTACAAGACAAAGGACGTCACGCTTCGATGTTTACGCAAAACAATTGACATGTGTATTACAGATTATAAAACATTACACACTAGCGTTTGTATGGTGTGTGTTACACGGATCGAATTCCGCAAAGAGGTTTTACACATGAAATCAGTTATCACGTCACTTCAAGCACGGTAATAAGAGTCATAAAGGCAGTATTGTGCTTGCCAGTGTTTGATAAACGAGCTCGGGTTAGCAAACAATTTTGCATATCGCGGGAAATCACCACTCACGCTTGGCCGGCAAAGATTTGAATTTCGAACGTAGTTTTATATAGTTTTAATTTGCCTTTTTAACACATTATTAACTTATAGTATTATTTTTATATTAAAAAAAGTACTTTTGAAGCGTTTAGATAGTCTTTCTAAGGCCAGTTTCCCATGACATGAGTTGTGTAAAAATTATATGTGTGTATACAAGAACATGTATTCACATACGCATGTCGGCATCCGACAGACAGACAGACAAAACAATGCTGAGGGCCCGAGGTACGGACACACCCCTGAGAAGTAGTGATGTTACTTTACCGAGTTGTCGATAGTTTACAAGTGATGTACTTTATTTATTTATTTATCGGTATTATTAATTATTTGATGATTTTTAAATCTTGATAATTTTTCAATCATAAACCGCCTATTCGTGTACAAATACTAAAACATATTATACTATCATTTGATTTTATTAATTGAATTAGTTTTTTTTAAGATTTAATTTGAAATGTAATGTTGTAATTGAAGCTAAGTACTGATATTTAAATTAAAAAATTGTTGCTGGCTGGTTTTTTTTCTCTTATACAATAATTAAAAACTTGTCTTTCTTGTTTACGTAACGGTAATCGAATTAATAAAAACCAGTATATACGCGTATCACAAAAACTATAAGGTCAACTAAAAACTAAAAAGAAGATATAAATAATTATTTTTCGCTTTGACTTTAATTTGCGTAAAATCTTTAATTGTTTCGACTATTATCTAATTTTACACTTTCCAATGTATTGTTATAAAGGTACAGTCGCATACATAAATATTTGATTTTGTGATTACATTTAAATAACTAAAATAAGCCTAGAAATATCTATTACCTACATTTATAATTTAGGTAAAAAAAACTTGATTTTTACCATGCCAACTAAGATTAAGATTATACGATGCGATATTTTAAGACATTCGAACTATAACCTTTTTAATTACTTTTTTTATTTTTTTTTCACTTTTAAGTACTAGTGTTTGAAATTGTTGATAATGTAATAATTCTATCAAAAATCTCAATAATATTAAGATAAAATATTTTTAATAAGGCACTAAGAAAGTGTTAAGTTTAAGGAAAGTGAATATTTAACATCTGTACATTGTAAGCCCATCTCTGAAGGCTGCTCGGCCGCTCCGCCCAGAGTCCGCCTACCGAAAAACCGAGCACAAAACGAGGCATGTAAAAAAACAATAAAAACCCTTCTTGAAAAACATTTATCCATCGGCATAAAAAACACTTTCTGTTACGCCGACGAGGTGTAGACGACCGGGACAGACGGACGATTCATTCGCAATTTTATATTAATCGATCACCAAATTGATGTGTGAAAAAATAACGCTTTTACGTTGAAGTAAAACATCGTGATGCAACCTACACAACCAAGGCGCCTGCTCTGGGCCAGGATGGTTGACTTAGACTTTGTCTCCCCTGATTTGGGTAGCCTCGAACCCTACGGTGGTGACAAGAGCTGACGACGAAATTTTTGTCATCAACATCACCTTAATAAGACATATAAAATGGACACTAAACTTATTAGTATATTATAAAATGGTGGATAAATTTACTCACTAAACTACACTGTAATTCATGACGTCTTTGTCCGTTAATATGTAAATAAAGTATAAAATAAACCGTAATTATAAATCGTTTAAACAGAAATCTCTCTTCTACTTAACCCGATGAGATGAAGCTGACGAACGGGCGTTTTGTAGCGAAGAACAAAAAAACATCTCCCGAAGCTCGCGGTATAGTCTTAAGAGGATCGAATTTAATTCTATAATTACTTTCTCTGCTTCTAATTAACTTATTTTAGTTCTTTTTTATTGTTATAAAATTGTGAATGAGTCGACTCAGTTGACGTATGATCTTTTATACGAGTACATTGCAAATCTTACCGCATTCAGACTTGGTTTATTACTTATACCTATAGTACTGATTGATACTAAATCTACACTAAGGGTCGCTCTTGGTAACCATTAAAACACTAGGTACAATATACATATAAAAGGGAACATCAGCATATAAGCTATGATCTACGTAAAATCATATGATTTATTTTTTTCCTATATTTTCTGACTTTATTCAACATTTATTTAATATGTGAACACTGAATTAATAACTAATAAATAGTTTCAGCGATTAAAATATTTGAATATCTAATTATTAAAATGTTTAATTTTATTCACAAACATTTTGTTGCTAACTGTACTTCAAAATATGTCTATTTTGGAACCAGTGATGACCTCGTAGAACCTTAGGGGTGTGCCGTATTCTTCGCCTTAGGAACCCTTTTGACTCTAATCTGATCCCAATCTTAATTCTTATTTTGAAGAGAATGTAATGTCACATAAAAAAGTGATTTGTAACTTTTAAAAGTATATAGCAATGTTTGAAATTTTTCTTGTCTTAACGTATAAGAAATCTTTTTATGTAGTTTTAAAAGATCCAAATTTATTAACTTAGTTTCATAATTCTTTTAATCTATTATTAGTAGCAAAGGCTATATTTAAACAATACTAAAGTCCCTTGTCCATTTCTTTTTATTCTTCATACATTAACTATATATTCCTCAGTTACAAATGTGTTATTAGTTTACACCAAGTATTAATAGAACCAATCAAAAGAGCGGCATCAAATAGAATTACTAATTTAAAAAAAAATCATAGACGTTTATAATTAGATATAAGGACAAAGCACTTGTCAAGCCGACTGTACCACACGCGTGCCGTACGCTCGTAGCGAGAGTTTTTCTACGAAAAACGTTAAAATTTTAACGTAAGGCAATAATTAAAACGAAGGAATAACATATTATTATAGATTTCTTTCGACCTCCGGCCATTCGGTAACAGTTGTCCG